GAAGGAAAATAAATAAAAATATTAAAGGAGAAATTAAAGAATAATAAGGAGAAATAATATATTTGAAAAACCCACTCATAAATAATATTCAGAAGATAATTGGAAGACATACTTGGAAGATATTCAGAACAAACACTCGGAAGACATACTCGTAAAAGATATTTGGAAGTAACATTCAGAAATAATATTCAGAAGATATAATCGGAAGAAATATTCAGAAAACACATTCAGAAGTAATATTCAGAAGAAATATTTAGAAGAATTAAAGATATAAAATAGTAGAATTAGTTATAGAGTAAGAATAGTTGATGCCTAGTACTCAAATAGTATTCTGGATACTCGTAGTGAAAGTAATGTATACATAATGCTGATGGTCTATTGATGCTGATGCTACTAAAACTATACGAGGTTTGAAAAGCTTAAACTAACATTACGAATAATAAGAATAAAGAGAAGAAGTATAATAATTAAAGAAAGATAAAGAATAATTTATTAGAGACTAAACGACAATAACATTAAAAAGAAATTATTAAAGGAAATTATCGCTCAATGTGAAAGAAAAGATTCTCAGCAATAAAAAAAATTAATTAATTTGTAAAATAAATCCTCTTGATGACGAGTGGCAGAAATGATCAAAAAGGTACAAGCTATGTTAAAGCTTATCGAACTCAAAAATGCTATACATTTGTAAAACAAGGGTTATGACAACTATATCGTGATGATCTTCTTTACCGATTTTTCACTGATCTACTGATCTGATTTAGACGAATTTTAGCTTGTTAAAATCGTGACACTGAGGAGAATCCGAATACAGTATCAGTTTTTGAGTAGTAGGCCTACTGAAAATTTTTTTCTACACTTAAATTTCATTAAGTAAGAATTTTAATGTAGATCGCTAAATTGCGCAAAATTGGTCTTAACAATCGCACTTCAAATATTTACTGAATATTAGTTAGGTTTTGAGGTTAAAAAAAATACAAAAATATGATTCTAGCATTCGTGATTAGTGAGTTATAAGCTTTTAAAGGAAGCAACTCTACTTGCGTTTCTTTTGTAAGCCACTGTATATAGTCCTATGGACTAAAAATATAAGAATTGTTAGAATCAGAATTTATACATATTAGGTTTTTGGTATTGTTAGGATGGTTATGTCAGTAATATGAAATTTCAGACATCTATTAGTATCAAGGTTGTAGATAATCAGAATTATGCTATCAGGATTCTAGATCAAAATGATTATTATTGATGGGATTTCGTAATAAGCTCTTAATAACTATTAAATAACTAATTAATTAATCATTATTTAATTTATATATTATTTATATTATATTTTATATTAATGTTAATTATAGCCAATCATAAATTATTTTAACTTAAATTTGATTGGTTATTCATAAAAAAAAATGATTAGTCTCTAAATATAATCAAATTACAAATTAAGTGAAAAATTTAATTTTTCTGAAAATTATCTTTAACAAATTATAATATCAATTTTCTTTTTTACTAAATAATATTTACCTAAAAATTAACATTTTAATAATAATATTTATTTTTATATTTAAATATTATAGATTTATGATAAAATAAAATAAAGTTAAAATATTTATTATTAATTTAATTAATAAAATTAAATAATAATAAAATTAAATGATTTAAAAACTTATTCTTAAAATTAAATAAAAAGAAATATAATTGTAAAATAATATATTATTTTATTAGATATTTTTATATTTTATATTATATTTTTTATTATATATTTTTTTTTTTTAAAAAAAAAATAATAATTTAAATAAATTTGTTTTATTTATTTATTGATTATAACTAAAGATGATACAGCAATTGATTTCAAATTTACAAAATGTTGCAGCATAAGCTAAAATTAGTTGCAACATATGTTGCAACATTATAAGTTGCAACATATATAGATTAAAACTAATTGCAATGTAAGTTGTAACATTAAAAGTTGCAACATATTAATTACAGTTTCCATCTTTAATTATAACAATTTGATTTGAATTAATTTTTCTATTAAATGATCACTATTATTATAATTTTTTAAAAATAAAGTAAATTAGTTGGAATAAATTTTAGTTTATTTTCATTATAGAAATAATTTATTAAATTTATAATATATGGTTATTTTAAAATTTTTTTAAATTAAAAGATTTTTAATTTTACCTAAAATAAAAATCATATTACAATGTATCATTTTAAATGAATTTAGGTTTTGGATCAAACCATTTAATATGAAATAGTGATTATTATGCTCATAGGACTCTAATCATTTTTAGAATATTAAATAAAAAATTTTTATTTATAAAAAAAAATTTTCAACTATGTATATATCCTTTTATCTTGTAAATGAGAAATTATTCTGCTATAGACTTAACATTACACTCTGGACAATTATTCACGTCTGTAACGATTGTGTACTAAAAACAAATAAATTTTAGTAAAAAAGAAAAAAAAAGATAAATAAAATTCTCTTTTTCTTCAAAAAAAAAAAAAAAAAAATGTTTACCGGATGTCCATTTGAACATTCATACAAATTGTCTAATAATATATTTATTTTTTTAAAAAGATTATTAATTGAAATAAGTATAGAATTATAATAAATATAATCATTAATACGTACCAGAATTGTCAAACTTAATCCTATAAATTTTTAGGTTTTCTAAAACTGTATTTCCTAAACTAGATTCAAGACTAGCATCAAAACAATTTTTTAACAATTAAGACAATCTCTCTTCCAAGCCATTTTTAAATTCCTTATCAGCAACATGAATATATACATCACTTGTCTTAATATTCAAAATTGATTGTTGCATACCCCCAAATTGTTGTTTGATTCTCAATTTATCATTATCCTTTACTCCCTCTTGAGGATATTTTAATTGAAATATAAGCAACTTAATTTCAGATTCTAGTAATTCAACTCTAGACAACAATAAATGTCTATCATAACGTAACGACTCGGCTGTTTCTTTAATGGTATTCAAATGACTTTGAATTGTTCGTTGTAACTTTTCTGCAAATTTCTGCCAGGTATATTTAACTTCTACTACTTTATGGAATATATAACTAAAGATAGATTGCCTTGGGACCTCTCCAATTATAAATAAAATTTCATGAAATAAAATTTTCTGAATATTTATAATTTCGAAAAATGCATCTAAATAAATTCTTTGTTCCATCTTTGAAACCGAAAATCCAGAAAGTGATGTTAAGTCTCTTCCCTGATTCACTTGGGATCTAAAAAAAAAATAAAAATAATGATTAAATATTAAATATTTCTGCAAAAAAAAATCGATATTACTGTATTATTTAAAATTATATTTACAAACTGGAAATAGAAGCTTCAAATGCATTTTTGTGAGGAGGATTTTTGGCGTCAAGAATAATTAAACTCAAATCTTGATAAATATTCAACAATTTGTTAACGTGAGGAATCCAAACTGTCGCATTGCTAGGTTCAAATCCATGATATTTTTCAACATTATTAAAATACTGATATGGAGTAAGTTCAGACAAGACATCATCTAAAACATTAACCTCTTTAAATATCTCATCTTTAGGTCTTGGATCAGTACTAGAAACCTTTTTCAATTGAATTTTCAGATTGTTTCTCTCTGCATTATTATTAAATGATATAATCTGATTGGAAATATTTTTTAATTTACGATCATATTTTTGGATAAACTTTCTATTTTGTACATCCAATATACATTTCTTAATTCTTCTGCCATATCTTTTGATGTTTTTAATCGGAAATTGACATGCGGGACATGTTTTTTCACTTGCTGGCTTTATTGAGAGTGTTTTAATTGACGTCCATCCTCCTTTTGTAGACCCGTTATAATATTCTTCGATTTCCATATAGTAATCCAAACATTCCATTGTGTAATAATGACCACAAGAAAGAACGATCATTCTTTCAACATCCCAATATATCTCATCAAACTTCATGCCTTTCCTAAAATCTGGTGGTGGTTCTATACAAAACAATTTTTTTTTTTTAAAAAAAAATATATTTATAATAATAATAAAATAATCTTTGAATTTACTGTACCTTGTTGACTTTTAATATCCTCAGAAGCACAAGTAATACAATAAATTTTAGGAGGACAAACTTCACCACAAACGCCGGGGCATAAATGTCCACATTCCAATTCCTTTTCGCAACGTTTATTGCATGGTAACCTATAACACGGAACTCCACAACTTAGTTCACATTTTCCTTGATGGGTACATTCCCAAGCACATGCTTTTGCGCATATAACGCATGGTTCTAAACAATTTAGATTACATGTTGTATGTTCACAAGATATCATACAATCATTCTTACATGGTAAACAAGATTCTCCTTCATGACATTCTCGTTTACAAATATGCCCACAAAATAATACTTTATTGCATATATCTTTGCATATCGCATGGGGATTATCATTCGTTAATCTTGATCTTGCACGCTGTTGACAATTAATACATTGATCTGTACATCTATGACCGCACGACAAGGCACTTCCACATATATTGCTACACTTGAGATTATCGACCGATTCGCAACACTAATAATTTGAAGAAAAGAAATAAATAATGGATTAAACAAAAAAAATTAACTTGTATTTAGAAATTTACTCACTCCGACGTTCACTGTATGTTGACAATAACGATACTGTTTGTCAACGCGTATCATACACTGGAGATATGTTTTGAATTGATTTTGCTGACAATTAGCATTAGGCCAAACGTGTCCACAACGTAATACAATATCTCCATAAATATTAAAACACTTAAGATTCTCAATCGATTCATGACACTAATAAAATTGAGAAGAAATAATAAGTGATTAAAACAAAAAAACTAACTTGTATTAAAAAATTTACTCACCATGACGTTTATGGTGTGATGACAAGAAGGATACCGTTTGTCTACGCGCGCCTTACACAGGATTGCATTTTTGTGTCGATTTTGCCGACAAGTAGCATTAGGCAAAACGTGTCCACAACGTAATGTAATATCTCCATACATATTTTCACATTTAAGTTTTTCAATTGATTCATAACACTAATAAATTATTGGAACAATTAAATAACACTTTAAAAAAATTAACACGTTTTAAAATAATTTACTCACCATCAAAGTTATTGTGTGTTCGCAACGAGGGTATTTTTTGTCAACGCGTGTCACACACTTGAGAACATGTTTGTTTAAATTTTGCTTGCAATTAGCATCTGGAACAACATGTCCACAAGGTAATGTAATGTCCCCGACGATAAAATTACATATTCCACAATCCTCCTTACAAAGCTTATCACAAGGATGATTACATCTTGGATGCAATCTTGAACAAGGTTTCTGGCATATTACGTTAATATGTTTAGGATCATCTGCATGACACCTATAAGTACCTATAAAGATGATGATATTGTAATTTAATAACAAAAAAAAAATAATAATAAATTGTTAAAAAAAATTAAAAATAAATCTTACATGCGTGTCCACAAGCCATTGATACGCCACATGGATCAAAGCATCCACCATTTGTGCTAACTAATTTGAATTGTTCGGGTTCTTTGATAGTATGCTTGTTAAGAGGATGTCGAACACATTGTATCGGCATCCCAAAACCAACTTGATTACGAGAACGTAAGATATGAATTATAGGATCCCACATGTCTTTGGATTTCGATGCCATTAACTCTGAGTTACCAATAAGATACATTCCTTCGCGAGCACGTGACAATAAAACATTGGTTCGATTTGTGCTTTTGAGAAATCCAATAGAGCCATGATTATTGCCGGATGCGGAAACATTACGAACCAAAGAA